CAAACCATTCTATGTTTCTGTGATACACTTAGGGCCAGGACTGAAAAGGATTGAAAGGCAGGGCAGAAGTATAGGTATGGTCTGTAAGATATACCTAGCTATCTTCAGATTGTTTTTTCCTAGCCTTGTTTGGCCTTGTGAAGACCCTACAGTATGCTCCCAACTATGAAAAAGGCATTATTAAATACTACGGACATGTTACCAAGAGGGCTGCAAAAGACATGCTACCAAGAATGTCACGTTAAGTAGCCTCATATTTTTAGTAGCTCAGTAGACCCACTGCTGTCAATTTTCTCTTAGCAATTACATGCAGGTTACGTGGGGTTTTTCTGCAGGAATTAAAATGCAAAGCACTACATTCTAAATTCATGTAACTGCATGGAGGGAAGGTCTCGGAGGAACACAGAAACATTCACTGAAACAAAGCAATAACCATATACCATGGAACTATTTAAGTATCAACTGGCTGCATTTTCCAGCCATTTTGCTGTGCTGCACACCTAGCCAAAAAAAAAAAATAAAAAAAGAGGGGGGAGACAAGCTAAGTTGCTGCTTCATATACAATATACACATGCCTATTTACCCATGCACTGCTAATGCTCACCTTGCTTAGTAAAATCCTTCAATTCTTTTAAAGAAAGTTTGATATTTAAAGGAAAAGATAAAAATGAAATTAGTGTAAGATAAAATTCATTTTCTCCAACCCAGGTGATAAGAAAAGTCAATACAAGAATGAGCTCAGCAGCATAGAAAAGTCTTTAAACAACCTGTTTCTTTAGCTGTTTTTATTACTTGAATAGTGAAATACCCACACCAAAAGGTAGACCAAGGTAAAAATCCTATTAAAGTAATTACTGCAGACCCACAGACTAACAGGTGATTATGAAAATATTCTCCAATGGTCTGATTTTCCCCAGCCCAGCTGCTCCTCTGTTTCCTTCTCCCTCTTACCTTGATTTATTTTCCTCATAATGGGCACTGGTCTTAATATATCTTGCAAGTTCAATCTGCATGTCACCAAACAGTGGGACAACCTGCAACTGCTGTACACAAGGAATAAATCATATTAGATAAATTATTAAACACAAATCTTAGTGAAAGGAAACCATTATTCACCCATATTAGAGTCCAAAGTAATCTTTATTCCATTTAATTATATTTAAAATGAAAGAGGAATTACCTTTAAAATAACATATTAAGATTGTATCTTAACCAACCTTAAAGAATTTGTCTATCTTGGCTAAATTTATCCTTTTCTTTGCATCCAGCTTGTAGATGTTACTGACACTTCCATCCATCAGGTACAAGCCAAAGCCCATAACCTGAAAAAAAAACCAAACCCTCAAACCTTTCCACAAAAGCAGGTAAAAAACTGCTGCAGAAAGAACCATTCTTCATATCAAACAGAAAAAGTACTACTTTTAAAACAGCTCTGAAACACCCACTCTCCTCAAACAGAATATATTTTCAAGTACATAAATTTTTGTAGTATTCTCCTATTATATTGATAGTTTTTTTACAATAACATTAGCCTGATCGGTTATTCTTAGAAGATGCTACTTGTTTGTATAAAGGTTTAGCATGAAAAAAAACTCACTGAAACTAGAGTCTGAATATTTTTAGACAGTTTTATTAAACTTCCATTTTATTAAAATTCTGTATGTGCAAGCTGATCTGTAACAGAAGTTTAGATCTAACATCTGAGCTGTTGCTTCTTATGGCTTTCAGCACATGTCTCAATTATACACACCAGAGCTCAGAAGCATCTAAAAAAAAAAAAAATCTAATTACATTGTGTCCAAGTTGTTAATGAACACAAAGTTGTAATTCAGTATTTACAATAGCAGGATCTGAGCCTTAGCCTTTTAATGCATTCTAAGCATGCATTGCATTTACTGAACAGAAGGCCTAAATAAGCCCAGGGAAGCTGTGGATGCCCCACTCCTGGCCATCTTCAAGGCTAGGCTGGACGAGGCTTTGAGCAACCTGGTCTAGTGGAAGGTGTCCCTGCCCATGGCGGGGGGGTTGGAACTAGATGGTCTTTAAGGTCCCTTCCAACCCAAACCATTCTGTGATTATGATGAAAGAATTCTAAATATGAAAGACACGTTGGACAACCCTTCAAACAGAATGCTTCCATCTATCAGGATGCTTCCATTTGGTTCTAATAAACAGAGCTCTTCAGAAGTTAAACACTGAAGTGACTCAAAATATTTATCGTGAGACAAATTTTCAATTCTTACTCTGTACCTTTTCTTTCACTGCAAGATATGCAGCTGAGAATATCAACCAAAGTTCATATTGCCCAGCACCCTCCTCTTACACATACATATTCCAGCTAATGTGAGTACTAACCTTAATCTTAAGCTACTTGTTCCCTGAAATATTTGATACACAGCCTCACCTGCAAAAGCTTTTTACAAAAACTTGCCACATATCTATAAATAAAACATGGTAGTTCCTTTTTGCTGTTATTATACTTTATATAAACACAATTCCATAGAATTGGTTTCCTAGCAAGGATGCAGTTCAGTTGGGTCAACTTCAATTTATGAAAAAGAAAAATGGATTGTGAACTTCATAAATACATGTAGCATGTAATATAATAAGACGACAGGGGCAGAGGGTAGAAAAAGGAATAATTTGAGTTATTTGGTTAATCTGGTTCCTTTAAAAGAGGAACAATCAGGAATTTAAACATCTGTGTCCTGCCTCAATGATTCTTTTTAAAGTTTGTACACAAAAGAAACCTACTTTCAAAAGCATATGTTTCTCACTGGGTGTTAGATACATTTTGTTTTCGTAGTAGTCCACACACAAATTCACAATATCTGCAAGCAGCTCTTCATAGCCAACAATCACCTCCAACTGCTGCTGTAAAGACTGGGAAAAAAGAAGAAAAGGATACTAGTCAACAAGTTATACTCCCTGGGGAACAACAGTTTACTAGCAAACCAGAAGAGTTTGACTGTAATAGTTTCGTAAGGCATTAGGTACTTTGCAATAAGACAATTAGAGCTTACCTGAGTTATCTTGTTGTGGTTGGCAAGGAACATGGAGAGGTTCTGGGATTCTTGAATGGACTGAGGATCTGCCATTTTCCGCAGGAACTGAGCAGCTCTTTGAAAACAGAAGAAAAAACAGTATTTCTCTTTGACAGGACTGCTTGTAAGCAAATCCATCCCCTCTCACTAGGAACACATCCATCCCCAAATTTTCCAGGGCAACTGTAAGTTTTCAGCACATCTTTAAGTGTCAGTACAACGGTGGATCATTTCACTGCTCATAGGGGATTGTCCACCTCAGCGCATCTCCCACCTCCAAACTCCTGAATCAAGAAGAAAGAGAACTCAGCAGACGTGGCCAGCACTTTTTTTTTTTTTGCCACAGCGTTACAAAAGCGAGTTGTCCAAACACAGGCTACAGACTCAACAAAGCTGTGTCAAGAGCCTGTTTCGCAAAAGATGAAGGGAAGGCTTTTTAAGAAAGCAGTTTAAAAGAAAGGTGAAAGTTCACTAAACTTAAGTTATACCAAATTAACTGGCTTACAATCCCAAAACCCCCACTGCACCCCAGTTAAAAGGCCCAACCCAAATCAAATACTAGCAGGTATGTCCCTCAACTGATGGGGGCAGCAGTGGCTCTACAGACCCAAGCCATGCAACAACCCAGGAAAAAAGTCAGCCTTCCAGAAAACAGAGTTTGTCCTTCAGAAGCACACCTCCAAAGAAAAAGGTAAACCAAGTTAAGTTTAAGAGGTCTCCAGGCACAACAACTACTATACAAGGCAACTACAGGTAGAGGTAGAAATTAAATCTCATGTAAGTGGAAGCAGCATAGATAAAATTGGCTAGTCATTGCCCAAATGGTTTTCTTTCTGAAAGACCACAGATGCTACAAGTGGGATAAAGTCTGTCTTCCCCTGCTGCTGTGACCACCGTGTTCAACAGAAGATACCCAGTGATATCTGGAAGCTGAAGCACAAAACATGGCCACTGATATCCCTCTCCCCTCCCTGCTACGACTGCGGTCACAACCACCTTGAACAGCAAAGCTGAAAGGTCTTAAGAATAAGGGCAACAACTCTCAGCTACAAATGTCAAAAGTGGATGCCAAAACCAGGATGGGATAGGAGTAGAACAAGCAACTAGAAAAAGAGTTTCCTTTCAAACTTCAATTTGCTTTACTGAGCAAAGTACATTCATTACACTCAACGTACACCAAGACATAAGCATTTGACAGCTTGGCACTATTTAAAGGCAGAAGAACCTTTTGCTGCTGAAATAACAGCATAAAGAAACAGATTTACTCAACTGCCTAACTGCAGTCAGTGCATCCCTAGTGTCCAGGTAATCTGTCCCACACGTAAAGGGACTATTTTTGAAGAGAAGCGGTCAGCCAAAGAGCAACTGCTGCCATCTCGTGGGAGGCCTGTATCCTGGCAGCAGAAACCTGGGTCCTGTTGTTCTTGCCACCTACCGCTTGTAGGCTGAATGGTCGTTCTTCACGCTACACTTCATATTTTTCAACTCATCCAATACGGCAAACATGTTGATGAATTTGCCCAGCGTGATCAGATACGCTTCAGACACAAAGTCCTTCCTCCTCTCCGCGTGGCACAGGCGTCTCACCTCCCCGCAAAACCGTTCAATCGCGTTTCTCTAATGGGGGAGGGGAGAAAAAAAGAGAAGAAATGGGGAGTAAAAGTCATGACATTTCCAGGAGAAAAGTTTCATCATGTAACTGGAGCTGATGCCATGAAAAGCACCACGGAGCGGAAAGCTGTTTAGAGCATGCAAGGGTAACAAGGCACTAGCGCAGGCTTTTCAGCTCCACCGCCATGTATTTGCCGCGTGCTACATGTGTCACCAGTGATTTTTGCTACACAGCTTACCTGGCACAAGAGGCAAGGTGCTTCTTTGCAGATTAAACTCATAAAAGTTTAAAATCCCTTTGAAACAAGCTATGCCATGCTCTTTAGTGAGGAAGTGTGTATGTATTAAAAGGCAGACTACGGGTACGTTCCCTTAAATAAAAAAATCCACAGCACATTCTACATGCCAACCCCCAAAATGATCCTGGCACAAGTTTATTTGAGGGCTTATTTCCAATCGTGCCTCAGGGCCATTTGAGATGGAGATTACAAGTACAAAAAAGGCAGCAACTTGGAAAGTAAGGAGGAATCCGTTCTGACTCTGGAACACCAATCTCCTTCAAAGAAAGGAAACTGTTTCTACTCAATAAAATCCTGTTTGTACTCAATAAAATCCGCTAGCTGGGGAAGCGACTGGAAATGCTGCATTTCACCCAGTCTCCTCTTCCTGTGTACTTCAGGATTCGTAGGCTCTAGCTACTCCAGTTCCCTCCAAATAATGCCGGGAAACATACTCAGTCCACTGAAGCAGATGGCAAGCTGCCAGGATGGGAGGAGAAAGCAAGAAGTGCTGCTCTCCCGCCACGGAGCTCGGGTGGCAGGTCACAACAACTGGGTTAGCTTCCCTCAGTTAGGAATTTCCATAGCACAGTTGCACCTGCTGCTCTGGTGTCCAGACTTGTGGATCCTTCACTCCCCAACACATGGTTTCCGTGCATGTGTACATGTGAAATGTATTATATTTCAATCTCCTTTCTTCCTGAAGTGCCAGATCTCTGTCTCCACGTGCTACGTACAGACCACATGCAATTAACTTTGATTTTATGCTGAAAGTCTTAATGGGGATCGCCTGAAGTTTTTAAGACAGGCATTAGAAATTCTGCTCTTCTGTGAGACAGTATGTTTGGGGTTTTTTGGAAACAGAATGACTAGGTTCAGTATCTGAGCATACAACGTCAAGCATACAAAACAGGAATATAAAAACACAAGTCTACCGACAAATTTTGTTTCCATGCCTTTTACCTGAAAATACATAAAATTCATCAGTTTTGTGACTTCTGGCTCCAGGACTTCCACAGTCTTCTCATAAATTTCTACTCTGTTAGGCTGCTCATTGCACTTGACCTGAGGATGATTAAAGAGATCGTTACACTTGGAACTTTCCCTGATAATGTCTCAGAAACTAAGATCCTGAGAAAATATATTATCATTATAAAGAGACAAATTTAAGGCATAAATTTCTAAGTTTGGTAATTTTATGCTTGTCTAAGCTTAACTGTGTGTAAAAAATGAAAAAGAAAGAATTCTAAGATTTTTCTATTATCTCACAGCAAATAATTTAGTTGTCAAACGCCTCTGTATGGTTAGGAGAGTATTCTTTCTGCATTAAGCCACTTACTCAAAATCATGCACTAAAATAGAGCCAGAACTAGAAATTAGAACAGATTACCTGACCTCCACTATAAATATTTAAACCACAGGATAAGACTCACTTGCATTTCCGTACAAAACTAACTGCATTACACACTCCTTATAAAGCAGGCAGGTGTCAGCCCCCAGTTATCATTTTGTTCAGTTTTCTGATGCATCTTAACATTCTTCCCACCCTAGCCGTGTGCACAACCATTCCCAGACACGAGGCTGACTTGCCTCCTATTCACAGGTTTTTATTTTTGTCTGCAGATCAATAAAACACTACGTAGCTCTGACATTCAGAAAATGAGTACCCAGAATGTCTAGAAACATAAACGTTTAACCTGAATGCTGGTCATTATGTTCTATACTACTTGTTGAACCTGTTCTGAATTTAAGTATTAAGTTGGAGTGGGAAGGGTCTTGAATGAAATTTCAACCTCAAATGGATCCAAAAATCAAAGGTTTTTGTTCTAGAGTACATTATCCCTACAATAATTCTTGAACCAATCAGCAAGACTGACACAAAACCCACGAGGTATCGCTATAGATGCCTTATCAAAAACATAGAGTACAACAGGTCCCCAGGTGCTAAAAGACACTACTCTATGGCATGCTCAGCTTAACAATTCAGGAGTCAAAGCAGACTAAATTTCAGAGCTCACTGAAAAAGCTCTACCTGTGCAACTCCCCACCAAAACAAGACAGAAGTTCACACACTGCATGACAGTTTAATTTTTGTCCTTTACCTGAGGAATGGCTCTTGAGCAGCTCCTCCATGTGTACAACATGACCGCATATTCCTGACCTTCTTCTAGCATTTCATTCTGTAAGAAAGGCAATGTAATTAGGCATTGTAATACAGAAGGGTTAAATCCAGTTGTCTGTCATTCCAAACCCTTCTCCAAACCAACCTATTTCTCTTATCAGAACATATATGTACAAACACATATATTACAAGCTAAATGATACATTATACTGTATGTATGTAAGATAATATTACCCTAACTCATAGGCTCAGCTGGCATATTACATACATCAGAGCTGACCAGCTACTGATGTCCACCTTGGCTGAAATCCAACAGCTAAAAAAAGTTCCATTTATTCTCAGTTATCCCTTTTAGTACTCAATCTAACTCTGAGAGAATTCACATCATTGTCCTCATACCACTTCAACCAACAAACAGCTGTCAGATCACTAATCAACAACTACAGAAATTACTCTTACCTAATGACAATAATTATTACCTCCCCAGATCAGATTGGGGTTTGTATTGTTCTTTCTTCCCAAAACTAAAGACACTGTCATCTATAAATATAAATAAAAATGCTAATCTGAGGGGGTCGTGTGGTGAGGTGTTGTTTGTTTTTCATTTTAAACTCGAGCACTGCAGGTGGAATGGTCAAGGATGACAGTCAGCACATGCAGAGCAATATCCTTTGTTACATGTCAGAGGAGAGTTCCACCAACATCCAAACAAAGAAAACAGATTAAGGAGTTGACAGATAATTTAAAAAGTAGATTGGTGTAAATTTACATCTTTTTCAGTAGCATGTAATCAGGTAATCTGCCCATTCCACCTTTTGTGAACTGGACTCTAGAATTACAAGACACATGATACCTCTTTTTCCCACAGTGCCATAAAACAAGTTCAGTACAGACCAGCATTTGTAGCCTGCCCAAAAGAGCTACACCATCAGCAGAGGTGGAGTTACTAGCATGAAGTCTTATTTTCTATTGTGGAACTGTTAAAAACCACATAAGGCCTTACACAAAAGCATGCCAATAAACTACTAACATATACACTTCTCAGTGAGGAAGCCAACAAAACCCTTCAACACGACTAAACTGATAAGAGAAATAGTGGAAATTTGGGAGGATGGAAGGTAATTTTTCAGTGAAGTTAGAGCAGCTAGCTGTCAATACAACTAACACCTCAGAACACTGGAAAAGCACAATGAAAGCAGAGAAGCTTTTGAGCAACACTGGTTGATCGAAAAGAAAGACAATTTTTAAATTATCAAGAAGTACATGTACAAAAAAAGTAAAAAGCCACATGCTTTTTCAACTTACTGCCTTCCTGGAAGTGTTGCAGGTAACCTGGTTTCTGGTTTTCTGCGACCACAATTCTTATATATTCTTATATAACTCTTATAATGAACTTCAAGAAGACAGTTTCCTCTCCTTTTATTCCAAGTAACACAAAAATACCTGAACATCTACTTACCATGCTAGAATGGACTGTAGCTTGCTCAATGTATCTTGCAATGCCAGTGACAAATGCATTTCTGTCTTCAAAATTAGTATTGAAGTTTGGCTGCAGACAAAGCAAAACACAGAATTAAATCTTTGATAGGGATATATAATTTTTATATATATTGCAAATATAAACACACTTTCTTCTTGGTTGTGGGTTTTGGTGGGGTTTTTTTGTTGTTTTGGCAGTGGGTTTTGGGGGGGATTTGAAAAAACCATATACTTTTCTTAACAGCAATGGGAAATGGAAAAGCTTGTTTTCATACACTGACAACACACCTGGTAAAGCAGAGATGATGGTGGGGGTTCAATACAGGGTTGCTGATCTGGCAATGGTAATTCTTCCAACAGATCCACATTGGACAAGGCATCCTCCAGTGTTACTTGAGCAGTCATTTTGCACCTAGTTAAAAGATGCATACATACACATAGATACGCATGCTTACATACAAATTTTTGCATTACTATATACACAGGAAACAAATGAGTAGTATGAAAAGCAGGGAACTATTTCTGTTGTGACAAATGTGCAGTTTCCCTTCAACCATAACGGAACGGAAACAGTCAAGCTGAAACCCAGTTGGTTTTAGCATACAAGTTTAAAAAAGACTTTTAGGACTAACATCCTCCTCCTTACTCGTACAACTCGAGGAATGCTTCTCTTGCCCCACTGCTACATGCCAGAAATACAACAGAAGTATAGGAAAGGGTGACCTCTAATGCTCATTTTTGAGTCAACGTGCCTTCAAACCATTATATACAGGTACTACCCCCAGCCCATCTTCAGGAGACCTGGCTCTCAAAAGGTGCCAGCAGCCTCCTGTGTTTCACGTCCCAGGACATCCAGAGCTGCTTTCAGTAGCAACAGCGAGGCCCAAAACCCCTCAGGGTGACGGCGATCTCCATACGCCTCCAACTGCTGCCACTGCACAGGGCTCATAACCAAGAACAGCCAGGGGAAGAAATTTTAGGAAAAAAGCATGGGGAGGAACAACTCAATCATCTACTTTTGTGTAATGACCTGGTCATCCTCCCTGGTGGAGTAAAAACTTAATTTTTAAGGCAACACCTTTAATCAAGATGCCTTTTTCTCTATAGGGCTTTGTAAGTTACTTTCCTGGCTGACCCACACAGAACCACACACCTACTGTGACAGAAGCCCCTGGGAGCTGTCCTCGGCTCTAACCAGGGGGTCAGGAACACCGAGCACCCATACCCCACAGGAGCAGAGTCCCACTTGGCACGTGTCACCCCTGGGGAGCCGTGCCATCCCCACGAAGGGGCAACGAGCAAATCTTGCCACAGCTTTGCAGAAGAAGCTCACTGCGAGAGAGGCAGGGCAGGCTGGCTATCCCACCGCTCGCTGCACTTACAGCGGCCTGGCTGAAAAACCTTCTCGCTTTCTCTTACCTGATTATGGTTTCCTGGGGGAAGTCGCACAGAAACAGCAGCTTTACCTCCAAGGAAGGGCTCAGCTGACAAAACACAAACCCCAAAACCCAAAGCAAAGGGAAGGAAGCAGCCAGAAGCGATTACCTACCTACCTTCAGAGACCAACCCTGGATCCCAAGCCATTGCCACAAAGCTAACATACCCCATACGGAGAGAGCTCAAGCTCTGTCACAAGAGCCACAGTTACTCTCTGAGACCAGCAAAATATACAGCATCCTCCCTTTGATAAATAAACAAAATAAATAAAATGCACATCTAGGCAAAAGTCCTTTGAGGAGCTCAGACTCTTTAACAGTTTCATCCTGGAGGAAACTGAACAGAGTTGCCAAGAAGTCACAGCACGTCAATTAAACCACATTTTAATTTTTGATTTGAGTATCTATAGGTCGAGCTTTAACTACAAAAGAAAACACAACACTTTATATAGGTTGGTTTAACTGAGAGGCTCCTTCCAACTTGAAGCTTTTCCTCCTCTTAGCCTCTGTCAGAGCAGAAACACCTTGCCATGCGGCAGCTCCGGCACGTGCCGGCGGTGAGACTTGCAGGCCCATAGCCTTTTCCCCAGCTACACCAGGGACAAGAATATGGCTACAAAGCACCAGCTCCAAGAAAGCACAACGGGGGTGTGCTATAAAAACTGTTCCAGTCATGCTACAAAAACCACAGCAAAAGCGGCTGCCTCTTCTATGACAGAAATTACGGCACCTATCCATGTAAAGGGGGGCCGTCACCGAGTGCAAGGCAAGTATCAACACCCTCTCCCCAACCCACACATCTTCCTTCTCCTCCTAAAACACAGTCCATCAATGACTCAGGCCCAGCTGCAGGAAAGAGCCAGGCGTTCACAGAAGGCGAGCCCCTGACTTGCGTTTCCTCAGCACTACAAGCAAACATTCTGAAGACACGGCCCTTAATCCCCACACGCGCTATCTCAGAAAGCACAGCCGCACGCTGCTGGCCTCAATGTTTACAGCTGAACAGGAATAATCTTTCTGTGTCCAGACTCCAGGCATTAAAAATATCCACAGATAGTCTAATACTTGGAAAATAATTTAAAAATAGAAACCAAGGCATAAGCAAAACCAAAATCCCACCTCACTTACACTGCCATCAATTTAATAGCACAAGCCTGGGAAACTCCCGTTACCAGGTCAGAGGCAGCTTCCTGCTGCCCTCTGGGTTGTGAAAAGAAATACAGGAAGGTGCATTTTTCCAAGCCCTTTGGCATGATTTCCCAAAGACAGATCAGCATTTTCTGAACTAGGAAAACATAAGCAACCTGGCATGGACTGTTACAAAAGCCTTCTTGTTTTAAGGTTGCCTTCGCAATTCCGCCAGAGGTATCCACACGCCTGCTGTTGGGTTGGCCACGTTCAACGGTCCTGTTCTTCAGTTTTTTTACTCTGCTACCTAGCAAGACGTGAAAGAGGAAGCAGCTCCTTCCTGCCCAGCTTTGACACATTTGCAAACGCTGTGAGGACATGATCCATGCTTCCCCTATGGCCCCCAAGAAGTGAGCAGCGGAGGTTTGACAGTGGCAGCAGTGGGGGGAACAGCTGGAGCTTGGCTGTGCTTGCGCCGTGTTAGCCAGGAGACAAGGCCCCACAGCCGGGTGACACCACCACACCATCCTTGCCACATCCTCGCCTGATGTGGAAGCCCTGGGACCAGGAGTTAAAGGAACTTCAGGGTTTTTCCCCTTTCTTTTCTGATGTTGTTTTTGATAAAATCAGCTACAAAAGTCAATGGCTGTTTCTAATGTACACTGATGGAGAGCTGGCAAACCCAGAATCTCTCCCCCCTCCCCCCAAGTCTCAGAAAAATTAATTTAAGAAAACTAAAATTCACAAGACAAAATTGGATAGCTTTGCCACCTTAAGAGTTGTTCACTGTGAGTTCTTATTTGTGAAATTACTGGGCAGGAGAGCTAATACATTAATGGGGTCCTTTTTGGCAGAGAACATAAACTTCAAAGACCTACTTTGAAAAACAAAAGTCTGATAAGAAGTTTACCTAAATGAGAACAGATCAAAGCACTGTAGTCATACTGATAATTATAGTTACCCTAGTAAATTTACCCAGACTACTGAGAATTACTTTCTTAGTGAATTCCTAAAATGTTGTGTTTTCAGCTTTGTACCTACCAGGACGGATTCCCTCGGGTAGATGATGTGTTAAGAATTACTTCTGACATAGCCCTCTTTTTCTTTTTGCTATCTTTGTATCATGACCCATCATTACAGCACTTAAGTCAAAATGCGCTCCAAGAACACTTTTTCCTGGACATACACAACTTCACTAAAAACCGTCTATTATCTGACATCCTCCCTCCAGGAGAGAGGATCACACAAGACAGCAAGCTGTTTTGTTAAATTTTGGTGTTCGATGAGCATGCCTAGCTTTCTAAACAAGAGACAGCACTGTCTGTGCTGATTCTCACCTTTTTTCTGGATTTCAAAGGAAGAAAATTCCTGTCTCCTACACAGACAAGCTTCAGCCTTATAGTGCCAAGTCCCACCATGTCAGAGGTATCAGTCACAGGTTTTTTAGAGAAACTTTGGGTATGTTAGTGCAAGGCCACTGACTAGTTTTAAGTAAGATATTCTTCTTTTTCTTCAGGACTGAAGGAGATAAGCCGCAGTTGGGTGTGAACTGCTCAGAAGAGCTTGTGCTGCATAGAAGCTCATGGAGCTGCCTGCATCACACTTTGTCCACAGGAAAAACCAAACCAAAAAAAAGGCACCAGACCTTGAAGCTCCTTTAGCTTTTTTTTTTTTACATTTTGATTTAACTTCAGAGCTGGATTATTACTGAATCCCATTCAGACAAAACATATGCCAATCTTCTTTTAAATGTTGTAATTCTGTACCCTTGTTCTCAGCCCTGCAGCTGCGTGGTAAGCACTGCCCTGCTCGTAATATTGCTTGGGTATTTAGAGGTGATGACTGTCGGTCCTAGCAAGACACCATTTCCATGGCTCCATCCTTACAGAATAATGTCAAAGTCTTTGCAAAAGATCTATATTCTTAATTCCAAGCATATCAGAAAACACCCAGCATGCATCTCAGCCTTGCTCTTTTAGGCCTCCTGAGGCTTCAGACTACTTGAAAAAATATATATGGACAGAATTATGGGGAAAAGTCTTTTGGACAAAAAATAGAAAAGTGACCAGAGAAAATAATACCAAAAACCCAGAAGATAAGGACTGAGACAGCAGAGAGCAGATAAAAAAAGCATTAACTTCAGAATCACTGTGTGAGAGAGAGGACTGCTATAACACTATACAGCTCTCAAGTTCAAAGGTAAAAAAAATATCCCCCAAACTCTAGGGAGTTAAGCAGTTTTTATAAAAAACAACCTCAGAGTTTTTCTAAGATTTCTTCCAGTGGCAGAGTTAAGCAGGTCATATTATTTACCAAAGAAAAGATCAAAAGACAACTCAGGCACTCAGTCTGTAAATAGCTAAAACAGGAAAATGATGCTTGATGATAGGAGATAGTTCTTATACATGTTCAGCAACGGCATACACAGCCCAACAGATTTCTTTGCTTGTACCTAGCAACCAAGTTTAAAAACCAAATGGGTAAAGCAAATGAACTTAGGAAACTATAGGCTTCTTGAGACCTTGTTATAAATGCAGAAATGCCACCACAGTTCCTCTTTAGCCTCTGCCACAATCGTTTGGCCAAGACTTGCTCAGAAACAGACTCTAATGGCCTTAAGAATCTAGCAGGCTGAACTTTAAAAACGACACTGATTCCCAGCATGAAAACTTCAACCTCATGTAACTGGGTTTGATGATACTCACAGATGAAAAATAAAGCCGTTCACCACAAAAATTATCAGGTGAAATTCTGTGGCTGTGTTAGACAAGATGAGGAGATGAGGATGTTATTTTATCACAAAATGTTGGGTTTTGGTTTGGGGTTTGTTTTGTTTTGTTT